GAGGACGGCGGGAGGGGGAGGCGAGGGCGGGCGCTGGAGCCGCACAGCTCCTCCCGGCGGCGCGGAGCCCAGCCGATTCGCCCCTCTCGACTCGAACCAGGAAGCGCTTCCCTGCGATCCCCTACTCCGCCCCTCGCCCCCCCAACCGCCAGCGCCGCCGACCCCCGCCCGGCGCACCCGCCCTCTGCCGGGACCCCGCCTCGCTCGCGCCGCCGGGAGGGCTGCGTTTTCGGGCGCCTCTAAAAGCCGCAGCGGCCGCTCGAGGCTCAGGCCCAGCCACAGGTGTGCGGCTCGCTCGCCGGCGGCCTCCCCGGAAAGAGGGGTGGGGGCGAGGGGTGGGGCCGGGGGCCGGGCCTGCCATCCGCCCCGCGGCCCAGCCGTCCCGCTCCCGCCCTCTCCCGCCGCCTCCCCCTGCCGCCCCACCCACTGAGAGCCAGAACCTTTCAGGCTCCAGCTGCAGCCTTTATCCAAGCTGCACCCTCTCCCGGAACACCACCCAGACAAAAGGTTACCCCTTTCCCGGGCTCCATTCCAAGGATTTCAGCCTGCCCCGGATTTCAGCCACCGCCCCAGCACTGAAGCAGTTGCCCCATGGACAAAGCACCAGGTCCAGCCCAGGCCCCGGCAGCACTGCAGGGGCCCAGAGACCCAGACAGAGGCCCAACTACAGGCTGGTCAGCTCCACCCCTGCAGCACCTCAGCACAACGCAGCCTGCCTTAGGGGGTACATCCCACAGCTTTGCCTACCAGACCCTGATTGCCTGGAAGACCAGACCCGGCAGTAACTTTGCCACAAAGACCAGAACAGGCTGGAGAAGGAGGAGGAAGAGGACAGTCTGCCTCCAATGGACAATGGATACCAGCCCTGGCAGCCAGGAGAGACACTGCTGTGGGGGGTAGAGAGGGGGGTGGGAGGCAGGGCATAAACTGATGAGCCTCACAACAGAGGGGGGAGGTGGAACCCCACAGCACTGGATAGAGGCCCCAAATCTCCAAGCAAAAGAAAAAGCCACCTTCCCGATCCCCCCTATCCGCCTGCAAAATCAAGACCCACTGGTTCCGGAAAAAGACCGCTCTTCTTTACTTTGAGGTTGCCACCCAGAGGGAGGGTTCCCCCCAACAGTCAAGCCCCCCACCGCGCACATTAGGACCTGAAGCCCTCACCTCCAATGCCAGGCCAGGGGTGGGGTTGCAGGTGCACAGAGGAGAAACAGCTTAGTATCCCAGGAACAAAATGCCTTCATTTCCCTTTTTACAAGAGGGAAGTCGAGGGGGCAGGGCACAGTGAGCGCTCAGGTGCACAGCTTCTCGGCTGCAGCAGGGCAGGGCCCTGGGCGCCCAGCTTGGGGCTCAGACCCCTCACTCATTCACTCAGGCCCAGCTCCCAGCCGGGTCCACAGTGCTCTCCCTCCCAGTAGCTACTACATTCTCTTCCTCAGCCCCATTAGGTCTTGGCTTGCAAGCACCCAGGGCCCCCCAGGGGTCTGTCTGGGCAGGGAAGCTCCTTGGCTGGGGACAAGACCACGCGCGTGCTGGGGGAGGAGCGCCAGCCCGCGACTGGCTCCACAGACTGCTGCCCCCAAGCAGATTTCCTGGGTACAAAGCCCCGCAGTGGCTCAGCCTGGGGCTAGCAAATGCTGTGCTGGCGCTGCAGAAACCCCTCCTTCCTCCCTAAGAAAGAGCCTTATGGACAGGGGAGGGTCTTGGCCCTCTCGGCAAAGCACAGGAGCAACGAGCAATCCAAGGCTCGTGGCCCCTTGAACCACAGAAAGTAAAATCTGCCCCCCAGAGAGACCAGCTCCTCCATTCCACAGTCCCAAACCTCAGGTGCTTCTGGAGCCTGATGTGACATCCCAGAGAAGCCATGAGCAAGGGGAGAGAGGGCCATAGAAGGAGAGGAAGGGACAGTAGGAGGCATGAGTGACCTGCGGGCGGGGCTGTGCCAAGCAGGACCAGGGGCCGGCACTGCCCCGTGCTGCTGAAGTGGCCCTCATCTCTGCCAGGGACTAGCTTCCAGGCTGCTGCTGGCCATGCACAAAGCACCCTAGCATCCTTGGACTCCACCGCTCCTTGAGAAGGAATGTCACCCCATCTCTCAGGGAAGCTGAGGCTTACGTGGGTGAAGTACCAGAGTTCCCTGTACTGGCACCCGCTTCTCAGTCCGTAACTGGCAGTCTCCTGCTCAGGGATAGAAGCCTGGACCCCACGTCACATCGGCCACCAGAGGAATGAGGTAGAATAGGGAAAAAGAAGTGGGACGCTCTTCATAGGCACCTGTCTCGCCACGACCGACCATCACGATAGGCCGCCCCCTTGCGGGGCAGATTCAGGACCACGGAGAGTTCCCGGGCGAATGGCACAGCGCCTTGGGCCAGCGGGTGAGAGCAAGGGACCCATCGCTGGTGGTAACAGCCACAGGCTGTTCCAGCCCCTACTTCGGTAAACCCAGATTTCTGTCCAGATCAAACTCTGCCTTCTCCCAGATGACTTTATGCCTCACAACACGTAAAAGGAGAAGGGTTAATTAAACGGTATGCTAAAACTCAGCACTGAACCTACAGATGCCTATCGGAATCGACTAATTTAATTTTCCAGTGTATCCGTCAGCGATCCTGGTCTGGGGTGGGGCCAGGGCCATGAGCCAGGGTCCCAGGGAAAACCAGGGGCCTGAGACTCAAGCAACCAGTTCCAGGGTAAGCCATCAGCCTGCCTGCCCTCTGGGTTCCAACTTCCCTTTTCCAGGTACCTGGCCCTGACCCTCACTGAAAACGGTGCCATCTATGTACTCACCTTCCCCCGGGTCCCTGGCAACCCCCAGCTGAAGGGAGGAAAGCCATGAGGCCCGAGGCCAGGCTGTTCCACCTTCTTCTAAGCCTAGGGAGGGAGAAAAACCCTCCAAGTCCAGGGAGACAGAGACCAGGGTTCAAGCTCCCACCCTGCCTCCAACCTGCCCTGCCGGGTGAGCACACTGGTGTCTCTGGAGCTCAGGAGTGCCCTGAAGGCGGCCGGCTGGGGTAGTGGTTCCGGTTCTACCTCATGATCTAAATCTTGGGACAAATACTTCCCTCAGGAACGGGGTGGGGGTGTGGGGGGTGAAACACTTAGAAAAAGCTCCTTTCATCTTTAAGCTTTGTGGAACAGGCATTTCACGGAACCTCTCCCAGCACTGGTACACAGGAGGTGCCTGTAATTCCCAGCGAGCCAGTGAATGTGTGAATGGGCCAATGCGGAACTATTCGTCCTTTTCAGAGAGCTGAGAATGGGGATCCCTGCATTACACTCACCCCAGCCATCCCTTGGCATTTCAAAGGTCCATGTGGCAGCTTTAGCCAACTTACTTCCCTGCTCAGAATCCTGCTCTGTCCTCGAAAGAAGGGAGCAGGGTCTCTGGCGTCTCAGTCTCCCGGGCGGTACTGGCCAGCCCTGACCTAGTGGCACCTCCAGGAGGCTGGAGTGGGGGAGGGGCCCTCTGTGGCCGGCGGTCGCGACCCCCGCGCTCCACGCCGACGCTGCCCTCCCGCGGCCTCACGTCCAGCGGCCCTAGGACCCCGCCCCCGTCCGGCCCACGCGAGCCCCGAGGGTACCTGGCCATTGTCCCGGCTGAGTGGCAAGTCGCGGGGCGCGGGGCAGCGGATGCGCAGCGCCGGCGGCCGCTCGTCGCGCTCACCCGGCGAGCTGACGGCCGAGCCCGAGGGTTCGCTCACGTCGCTGGCCGTATCCTCGCTGCCGCCGGGTGCCGGCAGGCCCACGGCATCCAGCCGGCCAGCGCCACGCGGCGTGCGCGCCGAGCCGCGGCGGCCCACGCTGTACGCGTCGAAGTCGATGGTCTTGTTCTCGTAGGCGCCCTCCACCGCGGCGAACATGCCGCCGTACTTCTGGCGCGGGGTCTGCGCCGCGCTGCCCGGCCGCGCCAGGTACACGGGCAGGTCGTCCTCGGTGTTCCACGCGCGCCGCCGGTCCGCCATACCGTCCCAGGCCGGCCTCCC